ACGGCCGACAACTGGTCTTCCAGTGTCAGCCGTGAATCCAGGAGGACCCCCAGATTGCGTACCCTCTCCGAGGGAGCCAAAATTTCGCCCCCTATAGTCAGCGATGGAGTCAGCTGACTATGCCGAGGCGCCGGCAGCCACAGCCACTCGGTCTTGGAAGGGTTGAGCCTGAGTCTGTTCCTCCCCATCCAGACCCATACTGAAAAAAGTGTAATATGGCTTTGTATCTTGCACAAGGTGTACAAGACAGAATTTTTTGTTTTTCACCAATTAATTCAGAAAAGTATGAATGTAGGAAAGAAAGTTTACTTCACATTGTTAACTTTAGACATGTATGATAAAGTGAATAGGCTTGAACTAGGAAATGTTTCATGTGATGTGGAGCAGAATATTGGTTGTTGAATGTGATTACGGCAATACCGTATATAATGGGAAAGCATGTGTGTAATTTATGCAGTGTATAATAAATTATTTCTTGTTGAACTGAAATGTATGATGGCCCTTTGACTGTTTAACGGATTATGAATAAATGTAAATGTATGGTGAAGTTAGAGGTGCATCAGTTAGGGACATTGCATGCAAATGAACTCAAGCTGTTAGATGAGAATGTGAATGCTGCAATCAAGAGTATATATCTGAAAATAAATGCATCAAAGAATAAACTAGGTATATTTCATAGAGAAAGTGAACAGGTTCAAATCATATAATAAGTAGCAAAAAATAGAGAAAACACCATCTACCTTAATAATGTTTGTTGAAAGTGGGGGGAGGGGATATGTAGACAAATTTTAAGTAATGCAATTGCTGGCAGACAACAAGTTTTATTTTTGTATCCCTATGAAATGCTATTGATTAAATAAAAAGAATTAGGCACAATTAGAAAGCAACTATGAGATTCCTTTGACAATCATGATATTGGCATGGCTCCACTTTTTCTTTCTTTTTAATAATAAAAATAGAGGGGTGATACATGAATATTGAATGGATAGAAAAATAAATAACTAGAACAAAAAAGTGGTTTTATAATTCAGAGACAATGAGGATTGAATAACAAAACAAATGTAGAGTGAATGAGCTAAGAAAAAAGACAACGTTGACAATGTTGAGATTAAAAATCTCAAAAAGAAATAAGAATTTTAAAAACCAAAATGTAATCGATCTGATTACATGCCATCAAGTTGTCACCTATTAGCAACCATATAATTTAGATCAGGGGTGTCAAACTGCCGGCCGCGGGCCAGATGCATCACGAGGAAACCGCGTCCACCCCATTGCCGGCAATGGGGAAAAAGTTCTGTGACGTCATGCAACGTCACGAGTTTGACATGTCTGATTTAGATATTCTCCATGATGATCTGTCTTCAGCTCTTCCAATAATGTAGTCATCACTACTTAACTGAGTCTATCCACCTTGCTGCTGGTTGTTGTCTTCTCTTTCCTTCCATCTTTCTGTCTTAGAGCCTTATCCAGAGAGCTAGGCCTTCACATAATGTGTCTGAAGGAGAATAATATGTCTAAGTGACCTACATTCAGAGGCATATTTTTCTTGAGTTAGAGCTCTCTATTTGATCATGTACTGTTCGGACTGTGGCTTCCTGGCCTGTGCATAGATTTCGTACGAGGACAATCAGATGCTCTGGAATTCCCATTTTCGTAAGCACATTTTGAACACCCTTTTCTAATAAATGAAGAGCTCTAATCTACATTGGATAACTTTACGCATAATTGTGCTAACATGTCAAATTAAGAATGCTGTATAGTATAATAGTCTGCATGCTCTGTCATTTTTTTATTTTTTTGATACTGATGTTTCTATTAACCTCTCCCAATCTGTTGGCCACTCTGTCATTTTCCAGATTTGCTGGCATACTTTGGTTAGAACCTTTACAGGGTCTTCTTCCATTGAATTTTCTTTACATATTTGACAATTCCTGTAGCCTTATTTCGAAATAATCAGACTGCAAATCTAACTTCACTTTTAGAACTTGTTTCTTGTATATATGTCTTAATATTGACTTTTCTATTGTACAGAATTTCAGTATACTTTCATCTGTGATCTTTGAATCAATTATCTGTCCATTGGCAACCTTTAGCACACCAACTTGAAAATTGGAATCGTCTTCTGAATATTAAGATCTCATTTGGCTACTTCTATCTTTAAATATGTTGTTGTAATATTCCTTCTTGTTTTTTAAGTTTACTGTTCTAAGATCTTTGGCATTCTTGGCTTTGGTTTCTCTTCTCTTCTTGGCAATTTCTGCCATTGGTTCCAACATTCAGTTTTCTTTCTTAGCCATGCCTTTGCTGTTATAACTGAGCTTTATGTAATTCTCCTTGTTATTTTAGTTTCCTAAGTCATATGGTCTAACTATATTTTTCTCCTCAATATTTCTAACATTGGTATTCCAGTTTTCACCCACAAGTGGCACATCTTGCTTGCTTGAACTTGAGGATAAAGCTAACCAACCTCCCCTTTTGCTGCATCAGAAGATGCAGCATGAACTTTATCAACATTGTTCCATGTTTTTTCTTGTTTGTGTGCTAAATGATAAACATTATGATCTTCTGACCAAAAGCATCCATTGCAGCCCATTTCAATTCACTGATGCTGGAGTGAAAGATGAAATTACTTTCACTGTGTTGATCATTGTCATATTCAGCTTCTTACATTCCACATTCCCAATTATGCTTTTGCAGCTTTGAATTTTCTTTTCCTACAATGACATCTCTGGAAGCTTTATGAAGCTCTGTATCATAATTACTACTGGCATATTAAAAGCTCCTTAGCTCCTCCTAGTAGCATTTTCAGTGCCATCAGATCTGAGGGGCCCATCATCCAGTTCTATATCGTCAATTTTATATTGCCCATCCATGTTTGTGTGTGTGTGTGTGTGTGTGTGTGTATAATGTATAGAAGAGGTTTACCAGTGATTTCTTCTATGCAGCATGAAATGATGCCTTTGCCAATATCACTAGAGTGATTATCCACCTCCAGCATTTTCCTGTATCACTCCTGCCCAATATAGAAGCTTGCTTGCTTTAGCTGGACAGCTGGGATTACCTTCATTACCTTGGGTGACTCTGATGGCAGTATGTACTCTTAACATACACTCCCAGCTTGCTTCACATCTTCTCAAGATCACAGTCACTGCCACAATAAGACAGCAAAGAAGGACTATAGACTTCTCAAAACAAAATTTTACTACTATCCCTAGGTCTCATTCAATATAATTGTTTTAGTGTAAATGGTTTAGATTTTTTTTGTGTCTTGAAGTCAGTGTTGACTCCTGGTAATTGCTTGGAGAAGTATCTGCAAGGGTTTTTTTCAGAAGTGGCTTGCCATTGCCTCCTTCCTACGCTGAGAATGACTGTTTGAAAAGTCACCCACGTGGCTTTGGCCTAAGCCACTAAGAAATGCCATCTGATGGAACATAGGAAGTGTACTTTCTCTATCATGGTATCCCCTCAGGGATTCAAACTGCACCAACTTCATAAGCTTTTAAACAATCGTGGAAAATCTGTTTGCTTTCCCCAAGATTGGGGTGTGCTTATCTGGCATTCAGTGTCTGTTTTGGTAAGGAAATGTCTATTTTCCCCATTTAACTTTTTTTAATCTGTGCACTACCCTGCACTGGGTGGCCTTATAAATCTAAATTATAAATAAAATGTATTGTTTTGAACCCTAATCCTGAGTTTACAACCATTCAGTGACCAAGTTACAATGCACTGAAAAAGTGGCTTATAACCAGTCCTCACACTTACAGCATACACAGCATCTTCACAGTAACATGATCAAAATGTTAACACTTGGCAACTGGTACATACCGGTATTTAGGATGGTTGCAGCATCCTGGGGTCATATGAGCCTATTTGCAACCTACCCAGCTGGCTTCCAACAAGTAACGTCAATGAGGGAAGCCAGATTCAGTTAATGGCATGATTCACTTAAGAATTAAGTGATTTGCTTAATAACTGGTGCACAAAAAGGATGTAAAATTGGATATGACTCACTTAACTGTCTTGCTTAGCAACAGACATTCTGGTCCAGTTGTGATAAGTTGAGGACTGCCTGTACTGAATATTCAATAAATATAGCAATAAATGTACAACATATCTCAGGAAGCAATAATTGGCTCATGCTAGTGGGAGCGCTAGAGCACTAAATTTTGCCATTAATTTCAACAGCACAATACTAAGATTATCTTTTAACACCACATGGATATACGTATATTTTGAAATTAGTACAAACAAGTGCTAAATTCTCTGCTTTAGAAGTCTCCGACTTCAGTTAGAGAAAAATTATGTATCCATACCAGCCGGCCAATTAGTATTTTCAAAAACTGTATTTTGTTAGGTGATATGCTGCAGTGACAAAAGCTAAAGTGCCGCCTTCTTTTATGTCGACCATAAAGATATCCGGGTGTTTCTTCCTTTGCCACTGAGCGTATGTAAGAAAGTTACAAGGTCGATTTGCTTCTATACGGCTGCTAAAGGCAAGGCCAAAATTCTTCGTGAAGTCCACATTTTTTGGTGAATTACACTGAAAGGTAAATAGGTACGATTCGTATTTTTCAAGAAATGCCTCTAATAATATATTTGCCTAAACCAGGGGTAGTCAACCTTGGCTCTTTTATGACTCGTGGACTTCAACTCCCAGAATTCCTGAGCCAGCTTAGCTGGCTCAGGAATTCTGGGAGTTGAAGTCCACGAGTCATAAAAGAGCCAAGGTTGACTACCCCTGGCCTAAACCTTTCTACTGTGCAGGATGAGAATACCACGAGACATCACGTGTCCCTCAGAAACCAATTGAAATTAAAGACACCATAGACTTACAATTGAGGACTCCCGAAGAGTTCCCGCACTTGAAGGCCTATTCAGTAACTCGACCTTATAACAATGTTTTATCAAAAGCGATGCCCACATAACAAGTCTTCCCTCAGCCTCCTTACTAACTTATTTCTTTTATTGTGCTCCAAATGGGAAAAGCACAACAAACCTACCTCGCGTGGACTCGGAACGCTCCTAAGCCGAATAGGAAGAACTCGCCGCCATCTTGGTGAAGGAAAGAAGCTATCCGTCACCCGCGAAATATCCGAGGAGGAGGAAGCTCCTCCTCCATCGTTGCCCTTTTTTTTTTTTTTTTAAATCACTATAGCAACCGGAAGAGGAAACGTGTTGGCAGGAAGGTGGCGCACGCGCTTTTGTTACCAGCAGCCTTGACGTTTTTTTGTCGCGCGCGCGAAGCCGTGAAGGCTTTTCGGGGGGGGGCGGGGCGGGGCGGAGAAATGATTTTGCCTCGTGAGCTGAGTGGAGATGGCGTTTGTGAAGAGAGGCGAGCGTGCGCATGCGTTGCGGGAGCCTGGGTGAGGCGGTTGGGCGGGTTCGGAGATTGCGGCGGCGGCGGAGACTGAGGAGCGACTTTGGGGCGGCTCCCAGGTGCGGCGCCTCCTGTTGTGCGGTTTCTCTCGAACTGGGTAACTTGGCGGGGATGTAGGGTGTCGACGGCGGCTGCCGTTTTTTTTAGTCTGAGAGAAACGGGGAGCGGGGAGCGTTCGTGCTTTTTCGAAGCAGGCGCCTTATTTCGGCGGGATGATCTTGCCCGTCCCACTCCCTAGTTCGCATTCCCTCAGCCCCCCCCCCTTCCCATTCTCTCAAGCCGCCGTACCCGGGTGTGCAGTACACGGGTGTGCTCTTGCCGTACCCGGGTGTGCGGTAAAGACAAAGAGGTGGAGGGAAGGGAGGCCGTGGTGTAACGGGCGTTATTTCGTTGACCCAAAGAGCGAGTAGCAGGGCATCCCGGAGTTTTCCGGGGGGACGATTAGGAAACGGATCCCGCCTCTCAAAAAGTAGAATAAAGAAAAAGTCGCGGGGGGGGGGGAGGAGGGGAACGGTTATGAACATACTTTTCCTCTGGTCCATCTTAAGACTCCAACAAAGTGAGGCTGGGTGTCGGAAAGAAAAAAGATACTCTCGGGTGCAGGACCGGAGGACCCTCCCACCCTGTCTTGAGAAATGTTAAAAGGATTCCTATGAATCGGATTTTGGTCTGTTGTTCTCCTCATCCCCCCCCCCCCGCCACAGTGATGATAGGTTGGATTCCATACTTCTAAAAATCTCCAGAAATGCAAAAGAGTCCTAAAGAAAAGGCAAAGAGCCGAAGACTTTAAAATGCCTGGGGAGGAGAGGAAGCTGGGTATAAATGACATTCTCGGTTTCATGTTCGGGAGTTTACCTTTTGGAGGAGAAGGAAAGATAAACCAGTTCTCTTTCCGTATTTTGGAGATGTTGTTGATTACCTAGGTCAGGGGTAGGCAACCTTGGCTCTTTTATGACTCGTGGACTTCAACTCCCAGAATTCCTGAGCCAGCTATGCTGGCTCAGGAATTCTGGGAGTTGAAGTCCACGAGTCATAAAAGAGCCAAGGTTGCCTATCCCTGACCTAGGTCATTCCTAAGGGGAGAAATCTTGATTATATTTATTTTACAACTTAGGGCATCTTTCTTTTCCAGCCTTTGAAAACATCAATGCCATTCTCACAGATCACCCAAAATTAATTTCCAACAATAATAATACTGTGTCAGGATTTTCTCTTTCCCCTTTTATTACTTTAGTGCTGGGTATCCTGGCACTTAAGAAAAAATTCTCTGTAGCAGAGTATAGTTTCTATATCTGGCACTGGACTATGTTGTTTCCCGCATTCCAGATTTTTTGAAGGAAGAAAATCACCTCTCAAAGGCTTCCTTTGTCCATTTGGTTGTAGAGGAACCCTTTGTCAGATGATTTCTTCTCTGGCTGTCTCTTTGTAAAGAAACCTAGAATGACTGATTGTATTCAAACTGATTTTCACCAAGGTTCATATCTTAATTTTACTTCCTCAATTTTTTATTAAATACTTTTCTTTTGGACAATTAGTAATGGTAGATTTGGCATTTTAAGGATATATATTGAAAATCTGTCTCTTTAATTACTGGCATCCTTTTTGTTCTTTGTTCTCAGTATGTTTTTCAGTTTAAAGAACTGACATGTAATGTTACTCATATTTTTTAAATATATATATATTTACTATAACATTTGAGTTCTAATTCTGTCAAAATGGATCTGCATCTGCTATGCCTTTTGTAGTCCTGTTTTTGTTCTCTTTAAATTCCTTGAAATTAACCTTTTCTCTCTATAAATGCATTATGCGTGATATACTATTCATCCTGTTTTTTTCTAGCAATTTTTGTATTTTTCTCATCCAGAGCCTTCATCATCACACCCAACATCATTTTTAATATTTCCCATCAATTCCATATGTTTCTGTAACACTTTGCAACATATAGTAATTCTGCTTCAGGCAGGTTCATTATATATTTTTTTCCATTCATTCTGCTAGGTGATTAATCTGCTTTCTAGTTTTTAGTATAGTACTTAATACTGCCTTTTGTTATTGTTTTATTTATACTCTTCACTTTTTTCCATGTACATTTTTTCTCAAGATCCTCTCTTGACCCTACAAGAAATAGTCTTTTCAGAAACTCTAACCACCTTCGTTATTTCACTTGTTCACTCAGTTTTTTGTTATAAAAAATCAAGTCAGTAATACTTTTAGATAGTATTAATTTATTTGCTCTATGTACACATGAATAGACTTATGTTCTATGTATTCAAAATATATTCCTCTATGCAGATACTCAAATAGTCACAATTCTCATTCTCTCTTTGATCAGAATGGCCCAGTCATTTTTTCTGTACTCTTTCATTTCATTTCCCCTGCCCCACATCCATTTTTGTCATGTAACCATTTATTTCCCCTGTAAAATATAAAATAAAAGTCAGCTCTGGTTCTCCAAATATTACCATTGGATTCCTGGATTAATACACACCCAGAACAACCTACGGTAGATGACAACAATACATATTTCTCCTTTCATAATTAAACTTACCTCATTAGCTCTACTGTATGAAATCACACCACCTTCATTCAGTTCTATTGCATCCTTCTTCTTTGTCATATTTTGATAATCATGCAAGAGATACATATTCTTTATTATTTACTTTTCTTACATTCAAAGTCTTTTTGGTCTTCATATGCTGGCCCTATCCCTTGTCTTGGGATAGTAGTTTGTAAATTACTGCTACCATCACCTGGCATTCTTCATCTAACCTTCACTGTGAGAGAGATGGGGCTCTGTGCTGCCATTCTCGTGATTAAAAGTAAAAAAATAATAAGAAAAAATTAATAGTGCAACTTACTGATCGTGTCACTAGAGCATTCATGGGAGTTAGACCGGTCTTACAAGTTAAAATGAAGCTTTATATAAAACATGAAAAAATATTTCCTTTTTAAATATTCAAACTGCACTCTTTCTGTAGGGAGGGTGTTCAAGTACATAGTTGCAGGATCCAATCTGGTCAGTTACCGTGGTCAGAAGTTTAGTCTTCCAAGCTTTCAGGCTTGTGCTAGAACCCATCTATAAGGAACTTCTCTCTAGAAGCTTGGGGACACACACTGCTAGATAGAAGTTCCCTGAAGATGGGCTCCAGCACAGGTCCAAAAGCTCGGAAGACTAAATCTCTGATCCTGGTGACCAACCCAGATTGGATTCTGCAACATTATCTTGGGACACACATATTCACCTTCATTCATAAACACAGAGCTGTTCAGAAAAGATCTGTTTGACTTTTAGAAAATTAGAAAATAAAATGTAATGCTACCAGAAAATCACAAGATGTCACAGGTCTATTATAAATATAGCATTACTGCTAAGAAAGAAAGAGAAAGGAAGGGGAAGGAAAGGATATAGAGTTTATAGATCTTGAGATATGCTTCAAGTCTAAAATAAACACAATATCCTAATTTTTACAGAGAAATAAATACAATTTATACCACACAGAAAGAAAATATCTAAAACAATTTCTGCTAGGCTTTGTTTTCTTTTTTTCCCCCAGAAATAATATTACCTGAAACATTATTCTGTTTCAGTTTTCCTGAACTTCCTGCAAATTTCAGTAAGTTAATTTTAGGTTTGCTGGGAAGTTTCCCAGCCTCAGTTCACAGCTTCTGCAGTTCTGATTATAGATTTGAAACCAGTTTTTTTCCCCTTTATCCAGGAGAGTGATGGGCTAGAATAATCTAATTTGTATATTTTACATTTAGTAACAAATGAATCTTAAGAGTTCACTATTTGATTGCTATACAAACATAATTTGATCATAAGACATACAGTAGGATCTGTTCTAACAAATAATATATTATTTTGGTGTTTTTTTTTTAGTTTGTACGAATCTACTGAAACATGTCTAAGGTAAGGAGTGTCTGTTAATGAGTATTTGTTGATTTCTACATATAATAGACAATTTGTATACATAAATTGTAGCTTATACTCTATAATTTCATTATTTTAGAGCATGTGAATTGTATTAATATGAGACGTAGACTTTTATAATTAATAGATTAAATATTAATATTTATATTAAATACTTAAAAACTAATTTTTCATCTTGTGGCTACTCATGTATTCATGTATGCATTCATTTAATATTGCTACAATCTATACTAGTTCTATATATATACTGGCAATAAAAGAAATATATTTGCTCTTGTGGTAAGCAAAAAACTTCTAAAGAATACATGGTTTTTAAATTAGCTTTACAGGTGATACATTTTTAAAACAATATGATTAATATGCTAGTTAAGATTATTTAATAATGGTTGAATTTCTTAAGGAGTTGATTATTAGGAAACAAAGATCAGAAAATAAATGGTATTTAAATCCTCACATTTTTGCATTTGATATTTTTAATACAATTCCAATTAAAATACTTTTATTCATTGAATCTGCATTGGGAAGCAGTTGAGTCAGATCATTAATTTTAAGAGTATCAGGCAAAAAGTATCAGGACCATTGGTAGCTCAGAAAGATTTATTGTTCATGCCTATACACAAGAATCTGATCAACTAATGGTTAACACTAAATTGGTGGTAGATAAGAGCCAACAGAATTCAGGGGGTCTGGATTTGGATCTCTTGTGGCAATTGAAGGACTCTAAACTGATGATGCATTTAACTCTACCCTCTAGCTCTGCCTGCTTTTCTACAAAAAGCTAACTTTTCTTAAGGATAATAAATTCACTACTTTTTTGTATCCCTGCATTTAAGATATAATTTGTTTACATTGTGTAATAAAAATAGACTCATTTCAGAAATGTCAAGACTAAACTATTTTTACCAAGTTAGTCAGAATCTAAAATCATGTTTCTGTTATACTTAAATATTTCCTAGGACATGATTCACAGTATGGTCTATTTTCAGAAATCAATATGAAATAAATGGAACATGAGATTTCTTCTAATAGCTTATTATTAATTACTAATTCTAAACCAATTTATTGAACTATACTTTTCAAATAACACCAAGTCACTTTAAATTTAGTGAATATAAGGACATCTGTAACTTTAACTGTTTTCTCAATAATTTTAAAAACATAATTATACAATTTTATTTAAATACAGTATTCTATTTTTTTTCAGCAACAGCCTGCTGAAAAGTTTGCAAATCCAGAAACCCCTGGTTATGTTGGATTTGCAAACCTTCCAAACCAGGTTCATCGGAAGTCTGTGAAAAAAGGCTTCGAATTTACCCTTATGGTAGTTGGTAAGATTATTAATTTTTTAAATTGATATATGCACTATTACCTTTCAAGGTGCCAGTTCAATTGTAGTAAAATGTACTCTTAATTTGTAAAAACTACTTGCGGTATATTCTGTTTAATTGATGCATCAGTATTTCAGAATGATAAATTTTTCAAAGAACCGAGTCATAGAGTCTGTTTTATAAAGAATTCATCATATGGTGTATAAATAATTGATCATTCAGAAATTTAGATCCATAACCAAAAAGGTATTTAATTTTAAAATTCCTAAATCTGAACACTAAATATTGGCTTCAGTGCAGAATTTCAATGAGTTATAATAGTCCATTCAAATAATTAAGGTAATCTTTTTATGATTAAGTTTGTTTCTAACTTTATTTTATATTGTTTAATAGGTGAATCTGGATTGGGAAAATCTACTTTAATAAACAGCTTGTTCTTAACAGATCTCTACCCAGAAAGGATAATCCCAGGAGCAGCTGGTAAGATTAACTTTGTCCTTTCAGTACAGTCTTAACTTATTGGCTCCTAATATTGCAGTAGAAAAATTAAATAGATTCTAATGAAAACTTTTGTTGTGTGATGTGTTTGGAGGAGTGTAGTTTTTAGAAGTCGTTTGTCCATTGAATTTTTATTAATTTTCTCTATACAATCACAAATGTATTCATTGTAAACCAGGCATGTTAAACTGCCAGCCCGCAGGCCAGATGTGTCACACCGAAACCGCGCCCACCCCATTGCTGGCAATGGGGAAAAAGTGACGTTGCGAGTTTGACATGCCTGTTGTAAACCATCTTCCTTCAAAAAAAATGTTTATAATTCTTTAAAGAATAGAAATCAGAATAAATTGCAATAATTTGGTGAAATCTGCCACCTGATGTACATCTTGCAGTACAAGTCTTGATCTTTTTGCTGTTTCAGTTGTAGGATGTTTTTCTTTTTATCAGCTAGATGTATTGGATTATTAGAAAATCATTCAGCTCAAACCATGCTCTTGTCCAAATCAAATAAGTTTGTCAACTGTGGGGTAATATCCATATTTTTGAATTAGATTGCCTTGGAACATTTCAGCTTTATAATTTTAGGGCATAATTTATAATTGAAAATATATATTGGGTTGCAGCATCATAACTGATTTGTCTGTGAAATATATCTTAATCAGCTATCTGCTGAGCGTAATTGTTAGTTCCTGATCCTGCCATAAAGGCTCAATGTCTTGAAATCCAGTTTTGTTCCTTTCCTAGAAAAAATTGAAAGAACTGTACAGATTGAGGCCTCAACAGTTGAAATTGAGGAAAGAGGTGTAAAGCTCCGTCTGACTGTAGTAGATACACCAGGATATGGTGATGCTATTAATTGCCGGGATTGGTATGTATTCAGTGGATGTATTAAATGATTTAAATAGAATATAATAATATAAATAGACATATTGTTTATTATTCTTAGCTTTCATGTTAAGAAAGGTGCTTCAACAAAGTACTGAGTGAAGGGTCTGAATACTTATGCCAATGTGATATTTCAGGTTTTTTTTCTTTTTAATAAATTTACAGATTCCTAAAATTCTGTTTTTACCTTGCCATTATGGGGTAATGAGTGTAGATTTATGAAAAAAAAAATGAATTTCAACAACTGTAGAATCAGGCTGCAGCATAAAATTGACAAAAGTAAAGGGGGTCTGAATACTTTCTGAATGCACTGTAACTACTGCTTTGCTTAGCAGAATTGCTCATCCCAATTAGGGTCCTTAAGCAAGCACTACCTGTAGATGATAGATTGCTAGATCAGCATGCATCTATCAGTAGTTTGCTGCAATTTGCACTAATTGCCTTTGATAGTTTATAATTGAAAGAAACTGAAAGTACTTTGTATTATTATCAAGAGTGAGTGAGGTTCTCGATTATACACAGTAGCTGGTTTGCCAGCAATGCAATGCTGTGGTTTGTTTTAATTAGTGCAACTATTTCACAATTTTAAAAAAATTAAAAGTTACTGTATTGGAGGTGAAGCTATTAATTTATTTATTTGATATATCAGAAGAAGAAGTCCTACTTATTTGTTAGAATTCTAAAACTTTTGAATGCCAGAAATCATATAGAAGAACATTGATGGTTTCAGTATGCCCAGGTTATGAATATGATAATTTTGTTCTGTTGCCCTCTGTAGTCAGAGACCTCATTCCATTCTTGTTTTGATAAGTTAGGAAGTGCTTGCTACTAAGGTGGCTGCTAAGACTTTTGGTGCATTAATTCTATGAAGTGGGTGTAAAAATGTATGTGTGTGCATGCATATCTGTAATAAACAGTAACTTGGAATACCAATGGGTTATGATCAGTTATAATTGAAAAAATAAAAATAAAATTCACATTAAAAAGACCAAAAATACTCTTAAGTTTCAAGGGTTTAGGTGAATAGACAGGTTTCAGTTCGTACGCAACTATTGCAAGCATCAAATATAATCACTATTTTGTCATATAAACTTTTAACAAATGCAATTGTTGAAAATATGATTTATTCAATTTCTATTAAAGAAGTGATTCTGGGTAGTGAACAACCAAAACCCAAAAACAGTTAACACCACAGTACAAAATTAAAATATAAGGCGATGGAAAAATATGTCATAGATGCAGGAAATACGGCTCTTCATACACTCAGGGCTACAAGTCCAGATACAGAGTTAGGTCACCCCCATCTCTAAAGGGAGAAATGTTCCAGAGGGCAGGGACTACAGTAGAGAAGGCACATCTCCTAGTTGCTGCTGACAGAACCCATAGCATGCCCAACGTACTAGATCAAATTGGTTGGTAGAAATCACTGGGAGAAGATGATCCCTCCGGGTAACCAGGTCCCAAACTAGGAAGGGTTTTAAAGGTGACAGCCAGCACTTGAATTACCCACAGAAGTACACAGGCAACCAATGCAACTCATAAAGCAGTAGTGTTACATGTGTTGAATATCTGACACCACTAACTACCCGTACAGCCACATTTTAAAACAGTCGAAGCTTCCAAATGCATTTCAAGGGCAGCCCCATGTAGAATGTAAGATGAGATCATGAGTGTGTGAGTGACTATGAGCAGGTCCAGGAACAGGTACAACTGGCACACAGCCTGAAGGTTCACCCAGGCTCTCTTGCCACAACCACCACTTGCTCTTCTAATAGGAGCTGTGAGTTCAGGAGGACGCCCAGATTGTGCTCTGATCTGTCTGGGCAGTGCTATCCCATCCAGGACCAAAGGAGGAAGAATCTTGTCATTGGAGGGCTCGAATACCCAAAGCCACCAAATCTTGCTTGAGTTGAGTCGAAGCCCCTACCTCCTCTAGGCCAGAGGTCCTCAATCTTTTGGGCACCAAGGACCGGTTCCATGGAGAGAGGTTTTTCCGTGGATTGGAGGGTGCATGGTTTTGTGTGCTGCCTGCATCTCGCAGATGGGGCTTTGTTTGTGCAGCAGCCCAGTTGCTGGCATGCTGCGGCCCAGTTCTGGTCCACGGACCAGTAGTTGGAGACCCCTCTTCTAGTCCAGCGGCCCCCACCTTTTTAGCACTAGGGACTGGTTTAATTGAAGACAATTCTTCTATGGAGAGGGAGAGGGGATGGTTTTGGTTTTGTTTGCTCACCTGCCACTCACTTTCAACTATGTGGTCTGGTTCCTACAGGCCATGGACCAGGACCAGTCCTTGTCCCAGGGTTGGGGAGCCCTGCTCTAGACACTGGGACAGGACCACCTTGGCACTACTCAGGCAGCTGTGAATTTTTTTAAAAAAAAATTACTAAGTTTCAGCCAACAACCAATTGGTGCATACTTAAAGGGCATTTTATAGAACGTGCATTGTAAGTATTGAAGTTTCAATGCTTGAATTAAATATCCTTTTTGAGAAATAGAGTTCCATGCAAGGCAGACTAAAATACAATATGTTAGAATTCTCAATCCACAGAGTCTCCAGATTAATGTAGAATCAGAATGATACCATTCATAGATGACCAGTTAAAAACCAAAATTCTATAGAAAACATAAAGTGTTAGGATTTGGATTGTTATAAAGCATTTTAATGCTTTCTTATTTCTTTCTGTATTATGCATATACTGTAACATGAAAAAGATTTATGCCTGTCAATTCATTTCTTAAAATTTTGACAATTCAGTTATGGAATTATTTTTAAACATTATTTGCTTAGGTTTAAACAACAATTATAAAGCATCTCAGATAATGAATATTTAAACAATAATATTTCATATTTGTTTTAATAGTTTCAGGACCATTATTTCCTATATTGATGAGCAATTTGAACGTTATCTTCATGATGAGAGTGGCTTGAATAGACGGCATATTGTGGATAATCGAGTTCATTGCTGTTTCTATTTTATCTCACCTTTTGGTCATGGGTAAGTACTATGATTGAGAAGTGCTCTTTGGATTCAATTCCAAAAAGGCACTTTATAAGCGATCAGTGTATTCATGCCGGAAAAAATATATATTGAGCAATTTAACTTCTACAATTCTAAAATGGTTTGTTTGTTTACAAAAAGTTCATACAAACATACCTATTATGCTATTCCCTTTCAGGAAAAGTGATGTTAATGCAGAAAAGGATTAAAAATAGAAAGTCAAAAGAAATTAAGGCATGAAATCAAAAGGAAATATAGCTAAATCTACTTTACATGAAACCATTTACTATACTTCTCTCTCTTTCCACCTTTACAAATCATCCATCTTCCATGCCCATACATAATTTTATACATTTTGCTTGTGTGCATGTCAGTACACATATGTATCTCCTAGCTGGGTTTACAGGTAATAATGTATCTACTTGCAAATTGTCTCTAACTTAAAAATCTAAAATTTGCATCAAGCACTTTGAGTTTGTTTGGTATAAAATTGGGCTTTGGTTGTATTTGTGGGCATACTGGACAGAATATGCCAAAACTATTTGTTGCCACCCGTAGTGTTTGCAGGGGATGCCCAAGTGGCATGGTATACTTAAGATGGTAGCCAAGACTATAATTTCTCTATTTTATAGAGTTACATTTAAAAAATTGAGTTACATTTTACAATAATAATGCATATTTCTTTCTTGATGTAACCAAAGCAGTAATTTGATCTGAGAATCTGAATGTTTTGGAAATGTTTAAGTTTCTGTGTTAACTGCTTCTGTTAATTTTTAGTTTGTGAAGAAAAAGGAGACTAAATGTTAGGATGTCATAATCTGTATTTTTAGTCTCAAGCCTTTGGATGTTGAGTTCATGAAAGCTATACACAACAAAGTGAATATTGTGCCTGTGATTGCAAAAGCTGATACCCTTACGCTGAAAGAGCGGGAAAGACTGAAGAAAAGGGTGAGGTTTTTTTCTTTAGTTTAAGCATAGCATAAATAGAAACATGATTCTTATATATTGTGCATAATAGGCCTTTGGTCAAAACCTAATGAACACTGAACTTTTAGGTAGTGTGTGTACAGCTTTAACTTTTTGAAGTGAAGGGGACTAATTGCTGGCTTCTCCAACTGCAGCACTTTGTACCATGTGTAATTCTAGGGGTAATGATTTCCTGGCATTCAGAAGCTGCTTGGGTTTAAGTGGAAAAAAAATAGATAAAAATCAGGCAAAAAATCCTTGTTGATTTTGCAGATGTTGAATCTCAGCCCATTTTTTTTTATATCTTTCTGTCCTTTGGGGTCAGATTTTGGATGAAATTGAAGAACATAGCATCAAGATTTATCACTTGCCCGATGCGGAATCAGACGAAGATGAAGATTTTAAAGAACAGACCAGACTTTTGAAAGTAAGGACAATGTATTAAATCAGAAATAGTTTATCCTGTCATCTTATTTAATTTCAAGAATTTATTATTTTTGCTTTGTTATCATTGCTTATCAAAGCTAGTGTTTTTAATCTGTTTCTAATCTCAGAAGAGAATTCTTCACACCAAAATGAATTTTGATTTTGGGATTGGAAAATGCTTTGTCATCCAAATTTAATAGCAATTTTTTTAAATATTATGCATTCAGAATGACAGGGTATGAAGCAGGAATTTGTAGCAAGAGTTCCTATATGTTTTTTTTGTTTGGTTTTGGTTTTTTTGCTTTCTTTGCACCTTACTTCCACTTAGCACTGCAGGGCACACATGGAGAGCTATAAGGTCAAGGTTCAGGTGAAAACAAGAGAGCCCTGAAGTGAGTTTCAATTTTGACAGTGTAAATTGTAACAATTAAAAGTATAGAAAAGGAATGCAAGGGGGCAATAATAGAGGTTAACAGAAGCATTAGAGTTAGATGAGGGCAACAGAAGATAATGAATGTAACCAGCAGAATTTTTATCAGAAATCATTGTGGAGAAATGATGAAAGCAGTAAGATTAGGCAAGTGACTTTTAACTGGAGAATGGTAGGATACAAGAGGTAATTAATCTTATGGAAAAGCATTTAAAAAGGAAGATAAAAACTAATGTAAGAAAAAGAATGCAAAAGTCCATAAGGGGTTTCCAGTCAATGGCATGTCTCATTCTTTTAACAAAATAGTTGACTTTCTTTTCAGAAATTTAAATTAGTGTTGATTCTTATCAAACTTCTAATTGCAAAGCACAGTGAGATTGTACGATTATTTTTCTCTTCAATTCCAGACCAGCATTCCATTTTGTGTTGTGGGATCCAACCAATTAATTGAAGCTAAGGGTAAAAAAGTTAGAGGTCGTCTTTATCCCTGGGGTGTTGTTGAAGTAGAAAATCCAGAACATAATGACTTCTTAAAACTAAGAACCATGCTGATGTAAGTAAAGTGCATTTATCCCTGTACTTTGGTCATTGTTCATCTTATTTTTTCTCCCACACAATACAAAGCAAAATCATTACTGTTTGTTGAACTGTTAAACAGGAGATACAGATAGTTCTTAACTTATGATCACAGTAAGGACTGGAAAATGAATTGTTAAGGAGTGTGATTGTGAAGTGAAACATCATGTGATTGGACCCACTTTTATAACCTTTTTTAATTACAAAGTGAATCATCCATAGTCTCTAAGTGAGACATCACGTATCAGCCCTTCCAGGTAAACCAGACAGGAAATACAATTATATGCAACTAATTTCATTTTATTGTAAGGCTGCATTAATAGAATCTTGCAAGTCTGAATATACAAATCTTCCATCGCCACTTTTAACTGCCCAATCAATAAGACAGGTCTTTCCCAAATTTCTTCCTCTATTAAGTCACCGGGGCTCCATCCTCTCTTGTCTAATTGTTTCTTAAAGAGCATCTCTTCCCCTCATCCCTCAAGATCATCTTCATGAGTATATATTTTTATTAAAACTTTTAAATAAGAAGGTAAAAGCTAACACAAACTAATAGAAGTAAAAAAGGGAAAAAAGAAAGCAAAGAGAAAGCAAAAAAGTGCAAGAAAAGAAAAAAGTTAAAAACAGAAAAAGACAAAACAATGGCTTCTGATATTCTTCACAGCAGCTAGAAGAACAAATATATTTTGACCTGTAAAGTTACATCATATTGCTCTTTCTATAATATATTCTGTCTAAACATCAGAACTATAAGTCACAATTTCACTTTTTTATTTTTACACCAAAGTCCATAAGAAGCTTGTAATCAGCAATAAATGTAGATAATGCCTTTTCTGTAATGAAAGAAATTATCCATTTCAGCAAAATCTATTAACTTTACCAACCATTCTTCCATAATGTTGAATCTTTCCATCTCTGTACCTAGAGTAATCTGGCTGCTGTGATCATATATTGAAATAATCTTCCATGACTTTTTTCTATTTGCCTGTTAATCCTGAAATGAAAAGTTTTGGCTTAAATTGAATATTAATCTTTCAAATCATCTGTATCAAAATATGTATTTGGATAATTTTTTTTAGTTTTTGTATATGTTTACCACATGATAAAAATGTACCTTCATGTTCATATTTCTGACATACATACAAAAGAGGGCAAATGAGATTCTTAAAAAAATGATTATTTGTGTTATGTATGAAGTTACGTTATATAACTATTAAAGGACTTGGGTAGCAAACACAGTAACAATGTAGGATGTATGCATTTCAGAGCATTTTTAACCCATTGAGTTAGTCAAATTCTATATCCTGTTTTCCATTCCACTGCTTCTAATGCACAATTGTTAATTTGAGGATTAAAATGATATTAGTTGTGCTGTATTAAATAATTATTATACCATAGTTTTGTGTCATTCCAGCACTCATATGCAGGATCTTCAAGAAGTGACTCAAGATCTTCACTATGAGAACTTCCGTTCTGAAAGACTTAAAAAGGGTGGCCGGTCAGTATCTCTTACTAAATGGTCTATGGTTCCATCACATTTCAGGTTTTCTTGTCATGTTTTGATTGCTATCATTTTGAATCTATGTCAAATACTTTCCCGGCATACTTAACAATTAATCTATTTGGGTGCATTACTCTTATTATAACTCAAGTACTTTGGCCACCTAATGAGAAGGAAGGACTCACTGGAGAAGAGCCTAATGCTGGGAAAGATTGAGGGCAATAGAAGAAGGGGACAACAGAGAATGAGATGGCTGGATGGAGTCACTGAAGCAGTAGGCGTGAGCTTAAATGGACTCCAGAAGATGGTAGAGGACAGGAAGGCCTGGAGGAATGTTGTCCATGGGGTCGCGATGGGTCAGACACGACTTTGCAACTAACAACAACAACAACAACTCTTATTATATTTTTCTATAAAGGAACAGTAACAGCATTCTTTCAGTTATTACGAATAGATGTAAACTTCACATGTGTTAAACATGTTGTATGCAAACTTCATATTTTAATGTTTTTCCAGTTACAGTGTATGCCATTTAAATCTGCAGCCATGATATTTTTTAACATGTCACTATCTTTCCCAACCAGATCTCTAAAATGTTCCTCCAGTATTCAGTCATTTGTATTTTTTATTCTGTTCATTCTGCTGAAGATTCTTTGTTAGAAGATGCTGTTTTTAAGTAGATATTGCTATATATTTATAAGCCTTTTTTCCCTCCTACATGTAGTAACGTTGAAGATGAAGAAGTTAATAAAGATCAAATCTTGCTTGAAAAGGAAGCAGAAGTAAGGACTTCATTTTTAAAAAAATATACTGTATTTTGGATCTTCAAATCATGTGATATTCATAAATGGTTCTGAATTCCCACCCCATAGGGATAGAATGTTATTTAATAGGATTTTGCCAAGAAATTGCAAAGTTATTAGTTAGCTTTTTCTAAAGAAAATTTAAAAAATTAAAGGCATCTAGCACAAACACTTCTCAATGTGAATTCTCTGAAAGGTATCCTTCTACAGAGCCCATAAATTTAAAATTAAAACAATTACAGTCATTCATTGATTTTCATTTATAATTGATGAAAAAGGAGAGGCAAATGGACCTGAATGGCTCAATCCAGATTTAAAGGGAGCCCTAATTTGATGTGATCTACTATGGCTGTTTTCCAAGTTGGAGTATAAACTGAATTTATATATTTTGTCAGAAAATCTTGAATGCTGTGTAGATTAGATTTATATAGCAGCAATGGGAAAGTAGTCTCATGCAACTATACAATCAAAAGTATAGTAACTCTTTATTTGGATTTAGAGATCAAGGTATCCTGCTTTGGTAGCTGCATTAATACTGAATTTTGTCATTCAAATTATGGTTTATTGTTGCCTGTCCACATAATTGATCTGGTTGGTATCTCTTAGATTTGTATAAAGTCTTATTTCATGATGGTCTTGATGTTAATTCATATGAGTGAATCCATTGAACTCTATAGAATTTAAGAATCATACTAAAAATGTAAAAACTGAACCAGAAACTGGAAAATGTGCAGCCCCAATTGCTGAATTCCAGTTCTCAGCATCTATAACCAATGTCTCCACTGGGGGATATGATGGTATGTATAATTCAAAAATATCTGGAGACCCATAGATTTCTTACCTGTACTGCACATCAGTTATGGGGAGTAGGGGATGAAAGTGGGAAAAGAATATGGCCTCATGATACCAATATCTCATACTGCAAAAGAAACATAGTTGTACATGAAAGATATAAAATCCGATTTTTTAAAATTGGTGATATAATTCTGGTTTAATGTTTTTGTTGTAAGCTGCCAACACACTCTTAGTTGGAGGAATGGCTAGCCAAGGTAGCAATGATATTCTTTTGTTTTAGCTTCGCCGAATGCAGGAAATGATTGCAAGGATGCAGGCACAGATGCAGATGCAGAGACAAGGAGGTGAAGGAGATAGCAATGCAACTCATGGGTACAAAGTTTGAATTATTTGGTAAGAACACTTTTATACTAAAACTAGTGTGTGTGTGTGTATATATATAAAACTAGTGTGTGTGTGTGTGTGTGTGTATATATATATATATATATATATATATATATATATATATATATATATATATAATATTGCTTTGGAAATTACAGTGTTACAGATTTGATCTATTTATCATGATTTTGACTTTTAGGTAAGTAACTTTAAAATGATATAATTACTGCATTCTGAAACAAAAAGGCTTCCATTTATTTAATTGCTCATTCAGTTTGTTACAGCTGCCTACTTGCCATAAGGCTTAAATTAAAAAAACTAAAAATGCATATATTAATAGACTAGAGAACCAATTCTCATCAACTTTGCAAATGTTTGGATAGCATACATTTAGTAATGGTCACTGTATACTATATCCTGTTCTTCGGGGAAGAGTAGTTTTTAAATATCAAGAACAATGAGATAATGCTTTGTCCAATTTCTGTATTTCCTCAGCTACTGTGCCAGCATGTAATACAGTTTGACTTCCCTTCCTCACTTTTAAAGAACCAAAAGAAAACATAGAATGAGGCAGAGAAAAGAGCAGGCAGGGTTCATTTCCCCCCTAAATGATCAAGCAAGTAATGAATGATCAAGCAAACAATGAACTACAACATTTAACACAGCATACAGGTAGTCCTCGCTTAATGATCAATCACTTAGTGACTGGTCAAAGTTACAAAGCTACTTGTGATCCAGTTTCACAGTTCTGGTGGCCATACCACTTCCTCCTCCTTCCACGGTCATGTCATTACATTTTGGGCACTTGACAACCGGCTTGCATTTATAGCCATTTGTAGTGTCCTGCAGTCAGATGACCATGATTTTCTGTTTTTGTTGATTTTCATCATTCCCGTTTCCAGCAAAAAAAAAAATGCCCATTGGAAAAAATGGATTTATTTAACAGCTGCCACGTTTGCTTAATGACTGTGATATATGCTTAATAATTACAGTGTAATCTTAATGACAGCCGCAAAAGAGGTCACAAAAACAGGCATGGTCATGTGTGTCATAGAATGTTAAGCAGTAACATTCTGTAACAATGCAATATTACTACTATGGCAGCCAAAAAAATTGAGACAGTGTATGCATAAATAGTCATGGATAATTTCTTTATTTTAAGCAATACATTGCAAAGAACAGGAAGGAGTTAACATAGGCCAGGGATGTCAAACTTGTCACGTGACGTATTGCAACATATGACTTTTTTTTTTCCATTGCCGGTAATGGAGTAGGCACAGTTTTGGCGTGATGCATCCGGCTCATGGTCTGGCAGTTTGACACCACTGACATAGGCTAACAAAAAGGGGGGGGATTACTAGAACAATATACTCTTTTGTGGTTCCCTGTGGTCTTTATGCTGTAAACTTTCTTTATAATATATGTATGTATGAGATGGTGCCATTATTTTATTAGTAAAATTTGTAGGAGGAATCTATAGGCATTGCTCCTTCCCAGATTTTTAATTGAAAAGTTTGGTTATCATTGTTGCTATATATATTAATTATAATTCATTTTTTAAAAATATGCATGATCAGGTAACCTGTCAATATTCTCTTTTCATCATTGCAGATAAGTTTCATTAATTGGAATCATTTAAGATTTAAGACACAGAGCCTATTTTGTGGGAAAAGTTACTCCTTATCCTGCTGTGACTTGGAAGGTCTGTTAACATTCAGCAAACAAATATATAGTTATTGTAATCTCTATTTTGTAAACAAATAAGATTTCTTTAATCTTTTTAAAATGTTCAATGCAATATGAGTTTGTTCAAATTTACTAATATTTTATTGAGCTGATTTTACTACGCAGACTATACAAATGTGTAGATTTTCCCTACCCTGTCGTTCCTCTAATACTATGGACTAATGCCACTGTTTTTGTTTTTGGGTTTTTTGCACTGGGTAATCAGTTGATTTCCACGACATATTTATGATTTAAATTCTTATTCTTAATTTTCCCTGGTTTCCTTTATACAGCTTACATGTTTGTGTGAAAGTCCCTTTAAGTCACCTACCCTATAAATATTATGTATTTCCTACTTCTTTGAAATGTCATTGTAAAGGTTTTCATAGGAAAGACTAAAGAAAGTCTTAAAGAAATGTTCATTTTTTGGGAATAGAGACCTTTGCATGCAGACTGACCAACAAGAAAATAAGTGATAATATTTGCAATTTTTCAGTGTTGCTCTTTTTATATAAAAATAGTCCTTGACCTACAACCATAATTGAGCCCGAAATCTTAGTTGTTGAGTGAAGCAGTTGTGAAATGAGACATTGCATAATCGCTTCCCTCAGTGACTACCATCCTGGCTCATTCATTTCCAGTTATTAAGTGACCATGCGGATCGTTCGGCAGAGTAAGGAGATACTGCACCAGGTAGGGAGGCCTGGGATCCACAGGGATACATAAACCTGCTGATATCTGAGAGGTTTCAGCTGGTTCCCAATCCAGCCACTCAGCTACCTAGGGAGCCTCAGCCTGGCTATAGAAGCTACCATCATGTACAAAGCTGCTGCAGGTGGCTGGGTGAGTTGCTCCCCTCTGTCTCCTCCACTTGCAATCTTCCCTGCCAGTTTCCCTGTTGATTTTCTTGGGGAAGCCAGCAGAAAAGATAGCAGATGGCATTCACATGATTGCAGGGCGCTTGGAAACTGGTTGTAAGTGCAAATAGGCTGCCAAGAGTCTGAAATGTCATGTAGATGGGGGGTAGGGCAACACTTTACAACGTTTGGAAGTGCTTTACGGGCCTTGGAAAGCACCCGTTTCCAAGGCCATCGTAACTATGAACAATTGTGAAATGGTCAGTCGTAAGTTGAGAACTACCTGTATGAAGTAACATATCAGTCTTTACGCCTCTACTATTTGTGGACTGCTGAACTTTACCCAGTGCTAAATATTTTCAAATAATTACCATGTGTGTGTAGCATTTTGTGACTTATGTGGGTTTTAAAAAAGTAGTACAGTTTAGAAAACAAATTCAGTTATTTTTTCAGACTTTTTAAGGTGTATTCTTTTAGATTTTAAAATTTTTGTTTACTTTTTGAAGAAAGCAAGGTCAAATTGTACCTGAGGCATGTGTTTCTACAAAGGAAAATCATACGTATCCATCATGGAAGAAAATAGCTACTCCCTGATGACCCCAGTATGCCCATGATGTACATACATACCGACAGACATACATACTCTACTTGGAAATACTGGAAAGAGAGTGACTTAATCTATTGTCCTTCAGGCTTCCAACATTAAAAAAAGTCATTATGGCATTTTCATCTTGACTGTTGTCACACATAGATTACCAAAAATCTGATGCCATCCATATTTTAGTCTGTATTTACTATGTTCAAAAATAACATCCAAATTATATTTCTTTAAGTCTGCAATGAATGATATATAGACATAGTAAAACTGTTCTGCCATTTATTAATCCAGTATTTCCATTTTAAAAAGGGGATCACAGAAAGATTTCACTTGGATGTTGTAATTTATTTGAAAAATATTATACTAGTAATCTGAAGAGTTTCCACTAATAGTACTTTTTTCCCTTAGAAAGGATAATTGTTCAACACCTCTTCTGCTCAGAAGTAATACCTACAATCTTTTTGTGTCCTACATAGGTTATATTACTGGGTTAAATTATGCTACTTGATTTGAACACACTTGTTTACCTAGAATGTTTTAGATCTGGGCTGATTTTGATATTCTTTGTTTGAAGCTGTAATTATAATTAAATAGCAAGGAGAAAATTTCCTGGTATTTTGAAAAGTTGAAAATGTGAATTTGTGTGCCAAATAACTAGTATAAACTTAACCCTATTGTATATTAGTTTTCAGTAACTGACATTAAAAAGTTATTCAATTTTTTCAGATATATTCTATTCATCTGCATGTATTGTTTGCTGTAATTAGACCTTCATTATATACTGTAACTTAGTCTACTCGTGGTGCTACATTTTAAGAATTTTGGCTTTTATGATCACTTATAAAATCCATACTGCTAAAACTTAGTTCCTGAACAGCTGTAAATTACTAATTTGAATTGTAACTTTTTAAGTAAGGTTAAATATTTTTTAACAGTGTATTTCTATGAGGTTGAATAACGTTTTCCAGTTTGTGCCTGGTAGAGTTGTAACAAAAGTATCTGGTACCTATTTCCATGAACTAAGCTACATTTGAATATTCAGACTATAATAAAAAATGAATTTCTCAAGATTTTGGGAACCTGAAAAATGGTTAGCGTCACAAGTGGTCTTTGTTTTCGTTTTTGAACTAGCATAATTACAATTTTAAGAGTATATTGTTATGTTCTTTAACACTTTTACTGGATTTTTATAACGGGGGTATTCAAAGGGCTATTTTTTTGTATAAGACAGTATTAAACTATAATTGATTTCCTGTACCTTAATTTTAGCCCAGATTATTAATAAACCCAATAAACTGTTACGTACAAATCTGCTGAAATGTGTGGTTATATTAAGTGATGAAGGTGGCATGGTGGCTAATTAAAAACAGTTTCTTGCAAAAAATGTTGATGACAGAGCTTAAAATAATATGTTCCATTACACAAAAACATTTACATCAGCAGTTGTTTTGCTGAGGACATGTGTTACCAAAATGTTGATGTTTTGAACATCTACTTAAAAAAAAACTACTCATAGAAGTTAGGCAAAATGCACATGATAACATTTGGTTCCATATGAACCTCGCTGTATCACAACTGTTACTATTCCATCTTCCTTTTCAGTGGTATCAGAATCTTGACATGGACTTCCACTGTTGTCATTAATGATATTAAAGGCTAATACTTAGTTCAACAATACTTGGATATGTACATAACAAGAACAGTTTCCCAAGTATTAGATAAAAGTAAAGTTTATCTGCCTAGCCGTTTCGGACTCTAGGGGACAGTGCTCATCTTCATTTGTTAGCCAAGGGAGCTAACCTTGTCCAAAGACATTTCCATGTTCATGTGGCAAGTATGATGATATGCTGAGGCACATGGAACACTATGATCTTCCCACCAAAGTGGTACCTGTTTATCTACTTGCACTTGTATGCTTTCGAACTGCTAGGTGGGAGGAGCTGGGGCAAGTAACAGCTCATCTCATTACACAGCACTTGAGTCTTGAACCTGGACTGTCAGCTTTCCAGCTGACAAGCTGAGTGTCTTTAAATGCTAGCCACCGCACACACACGCGCGCACACACACACACACACACACACACACACACACCCAAGTATAGATAGCCCTATATTTATTAATAAAAGCACCAATTGTTTTAATGTCAAGTGCTACTTTTTCAGGTAATTTCTGTCTATCCCTCTCTGAGATCTTAATTCTTTCCACCACCCTTTACATCAGTTTTGTACTTCTGCAAGTGAAAACTGTTCACAGAAAAGTGAATCTGTGGCAGAATGCTAGGATGTGTTACCTCATCATGAGTAGAAGTGGAGCTGAGCTAGTGATAGTAGGTACTAGATTAGAAACTGGGAGACTGTAAGTTCTAGCTCTCCCTTTGTCATGAAAGCTAGCTCTGATTTTGGATCAGACATGTTAAACAACTTCCAAGGCTGGATATAAATGTAATGGATAGGTCAAGTGAAATACTTTTCTTACTTGCTATGAATCACAAAGGTGAGTTGTTGTATTACAGGTTCTGATACTGTATATTGCATCTATTCTAGCAGGTAGAAAAATGAGAGAAAAGGTTTACTGTAGAGCAGGGGTGTCAAACTGCTGGCCCATGGGCCGGTTGCATCATGCAGAGGCTGCGCCCATCCTAGCTCCAGCAATGCGAAAAAAGTTGAGATACGTCATGATACGTCACATGATGTGGCGAGTTTGACACCTGTGCTATAGAGTATAATTCACCTTTTAAAGAGGAAAAAAATAAAATTGCACAGCCAATACAGGTAATCCTTGACTTACAACAGTTCGTTTACTGACCATTCAAAGTTAACAACATCCCTGAAGAGGCATGACCATTTTTCAAACTTAAGACTGTTGAAGCATCCCCATGGTCACATGATCAAAATTCAGATACTTGGCAGCTGACTTATATTTATGACAGTTGCTGTGTCCTGGGGTCATGTGATCACCTTTTGTGACCTTCTGACAAACAAAGTCAATGGGTAAGCCAGAGTCACTTTACAACCATGTTACTAACTTATCAAATACAGTGATTCAAATACAGTGACAAGAAGAAATGTCATAAAATAGAGCAAAACTCAACAGAGTTGGGCTTAATTGTGAGTCAAGGACTACTTGCAATTAAGCAATTCTGCTGCAGGACTTCAACAACACAATCTGGGGAAGTCTGGAAGCTGCCAAATAAGGGAGGGATACATATCCCTGTAATTAGTTATGGTATATTTTGGTCATGGTTAACTAAAGGCATAGAGGCTTGTTTTATAAATAATGCTAAGTATACAGATAAAAATGAATAGGTGCACCCATGAAATCATAGCTAAAATTAAATGACTTGATTTAGCACTATGTTTAAATTAATCATGGTCCTGAAATGGCTACTATACTTTATTCTCTGTATCTAATAACAATTCAATCTTCTCATTCAATTGTGTATTTAACTTTGGATTCAGTATGCTGCATCATAAAAGAAGGAAAATGTAATAAATGAAAAGCCCACAATAGATGTTTGTGCTGAAAAAAGTATTAAACCATATATTGCATTGGAAACTGATTTGAACGTGAGGTTGTATGCTTTTATTTCATTAACATCAATATAAAGTTACAATGGCATTGAAAAAAGTGACTTATGACCGTTTTTCATATATACGACTCTTTGAGCATTTCCATGGTCATCTGATCAAAATTCAGATGCTTGGCAATTGACTCATTTATGATGGTTGCAGTGTCCCGGGTCACTTTT